TCCTCTTCAAAGACGCTAAATAAACATAGATATTGCTCCTACTTTCTGATTGCTTGACTTTACTAACAGCACTCCATGCATTTACCCCATTTGAAATAAATTCTTTGTCCAGTTGGACATACAGTTTATTTAATAAATGTCAGTGGGATCTGTGTGAGGCTACATCCAGAGTTCAGTAGCTTCTAAACCATGGGCCGTAGCCTCAGACGTAGCCTCTGGTTTCACTGGTTTCGCTTTAACAGTGGAGTTAGACCCCTAGCGATAAGGAAGGTTCTGCTCTGGTGTAGAGGTGCTTCCTTTAACCCCCTGCCATGGAGGTCCAGGTCAACCTGTCTCAGCTCTGCAGGAAACCCACCATCAGCACCAGGATGGAACCACCTGTTTCCCTCTGGGATGATCCTTCATCTCTGCATAAAAAGCTAAAGGAATGAATAAAATGTTAAACAGGGTCAACTGCAGGGTCAGTGTTTGCTTTCTCTGAACGCAGCAGTTTGACCTCAGATTGAACCTGCTGGGATGACTGGCTGTGGTTTCAGTGGTTCCCAGCTCTCCTCATGGTAATAAGATGGACGGACTGGTTTGGGGTGGGGGCAGGACTCCGTCCCCGCTGTGACCTTAGCGAGCAGAAAGAGATGTAGTGGTTGCAGGTAATGGTTGCTAATGAGACCATAAAGGTAATCCTTAAAACGGCACATGGTGCTTCCACTGCCCTGTTTGACAGAGAGCATTAAAGCTGCATTCTGTCTTTGTCTGTTTGCACTCATCTGGTCCACATACTTTATCAATGACACAGAGATTACATCAGAGCAGGTGGAGCAACAGATCAACATGATGTAAACAGATGCTTTCAGCTTTTTTGTTGCTGAGGTTCCAACATGTTTGGAGATTCTTTCTGTTACTGATACAGAAATCCCTCAGAGGGAAGGTTTAGGACGGCAAAGTCATCAACTCATGAAACTGATGATGTCTAATGCTTCTCTACCCCCCCATACCACAGACCGATTCAGGAAGTGCCTCTAATTGCCAGGAAATTCAACCACCAGCTAAAGAGCCTCAGTATTCAGTCAGAATGGGGAGTTTGGAGGAGCGTCGCTGTCAGACTGATAGAGTTTGGATAGATTCTAAGAACAGATTGGTTGTTCTAATCTAGTTAGCTCAAACTATTTTGGTTAAACAATATAATGATCAAATTAGAGCAAACAACTGATTAGATTTGCATTATTAGTACTTTCTTCGTGTTGCTTTGTGATGACAAGACAGTGTTGTAAGACGTTACCCTCCAATTCAAAGGTTGTGGCTTCAAGACTTGATAAAAGCTTTAGAAAGTTTCTATACCCCTGAGGCCCTTGTCACACCTTGCCGATTTAGCCAACGTATGCGTGACGTCCCAGAATCTCCTAAAACGCCAGCAGACCATGAACTTTCTATGTATTTTCCATATTTGGGCGTATACATAGAGTATTCATAACGTTTCCAGAGCTAATGTCCAACGACAGCCTAACTTATGCGTAACGCACGGCAGCATAATGTCCATGAAATGATGCACAAGCATCATTTCATGGGCCCCCCCACCAAAACACCATCCTCCCCACCAAAACACCTGCATGTTGGAACTGCAACTAAGATACAGGAAGTGAGGTCATAGAGGTCAAACTGCTGCAGAGGAGATCAACCACTGCATCTACCAGTCTGTTTATAACGGGTCTCTGTGGGGGACGTGAGCTGCAGGTAGTGGGAGTTTCTAAGGTGAGTTCAGGGGAACGTCGGCCACAGCTGTAGAGTGTCAATGAGTGAGACTGATGCCTGAACAGCAGGTCCAGGAGGACGGATGTGAAGTGCCCATGATTACCGGGGGGGGGGGGGGGGGGTGGGGGGGTTCAAGATTAAATTTACCAGGGTGCCAGGGTGGGGCCTTTTAAATATGGGGACAAGAATAGCACACACAATAAAACCTAGAGCAGTAGTGTTTAGGATAATACAGGAGCCACAAAGCCAAGGATGCACATTTCTGATCTATGTGCAACACTGTTATTCTGCATAGAAGTCTTCTGTCTTCTGAAACATTTTTAAAGGCTAATTTGCAGACACAACATAAAGTATATGGCATCATTCATGCACAATTTGCTAATAGGGAAATACTACAGCATTAACAGACATGGACTGGTAATTCTAGAAATTATATGTCATATGTAATTACCATAAGAATGTAATTCAATACATGTATATGTCATGTACATCATCAATTTAGCACTTTGGCTCATCTGTATTATTCTGCTCCATTAACACATTAATTTTATTGTGATAATATTTGTATATTATGTTATATTACATGATTTATAAACTTCATTGACGTCATAATGACTCTGCAATGTGATGGTCCTATTTTCTTATTCAAAGTTAAAGTTAATCTACTGATGCTATGAAACAGCCAGTGTGTCAAAGTGGTGAATTTATCTTTATTTTAAAATTCTTAAGTCCCCCTAAAAAAGAAAACATCTTCTTTGCGACCGGTCTAACTAGGGAGTACCAATATGGCGGCTGGTGGCTTCATTCCACCCCGTACTACCAACCTGCAATCAGCAGTCAGTGAATAAATAGAGATCAGTAACCAGAGCATTCAGTCTGCTGTAGTTCATGTTGTTTACCACTAGATGGAGCTAAATCTTACACAGCGAAGAGGGAGCAATCATATCTTTGTTTATCTGAGAGCTCACATTTTTAATTGCTTTTATTTAGTGTCTAAATGATGACAGTGAGCCGCACCTATGATGTCATCTTTTTACAAACAAGTAAAGAAAGGAAAATAATCTCATTCTCAGCATCATCAGTTAGTTTCAACGTTCTTGACGTAGCAGCTGGTTTGTCATGAGGCTGTTTGGGGAAGAGCTGAATGTCATCACTTCTTCTGTTGTCTGGAAACAGGCTGTTCTCTTCTGGGTCATTCTGTAAAGCAGAATCCTAATATTCGCAGTAATCTTCCTTATTCTTTGTTTTGGGAACAAACAGCTTTTTGCATCTGTTGATACTTGGAGTAGAAGACATGTTTCTGTGAAGTCTGGAGGTTTTATCATCTAGGCGTGGCGTTTGTCGTGTCTTTAACCGATCTGGGTTGAATTGTTTGCTCCCAATGAGGGCTACCTGCCTGCTGATCATCATTAGGTAAATAAGATGATTTGGTAATGGAGTATTTTTACTCCTAAAATAAGATCATTAGATAATATGCACTTAATAAGAATGCCATTGTTTTTTTTCTTATTTTAAGTTATTTTAAGAAAATATGACTTGTTTATATTGACATTTATTCGCAGTGCACCCAGGGTGGCATCGTTTCCATAACCAGCATTTACTTCCAGGCGGTTCATTTTCTTTGCTGCAGCTAATTTCTGGAGAAGCTGGTTGAAGTCTGGTTTGGTGAAAGGAGCCATTGTGATTCTCTCAGGCATTATTGAAATATCATAAAATGTTTTAAAATAGTCCAGCTGGAAAATGTTTGAAGTAAAGGTGTTTTATTTTTTTTAAAGATGCTTTGTCAACATACACTATATTGCCAAAAGTATTTGCTCACCCATCCAAATTATTGGAATCAGGTGTTCCAATCACTTCCATGGCCACAGGTGTATAAATTCAAGCACCTAGGCATGCAGACTGTTTTTACAAACATTTGTGAAAGAATGGGTCGCTCTCAGGAGCTCAGTGAATTCCAGCGTGGAACTGTGATAGGATGCCACCTGTGCAACAAATCCAGTCGTGAAATTTCCTCGCTCCTAAATATTCCACAGTCAACTGTCAGCTGTATTATAAGAAAATGGAAGTGTTTGGGAACGACAGCAACTCAGCCACGAAGAGGTAGGCCACGTAAACTGACGGAGCGGGGTCAGCGGATGCTGACGCGCATAGTGCGAAGAGGTCGCCAACTTTCTGCAGAGTCAATCACTACAGACCTCCAAACTTCATGTGGCCTTCAGATTAGCTCAAGAACAGTGCGCAGAGAGCTTCATGGAATGGGTTTCCATGGTCGAGCAGCTGCATCCAAGCCATACATCACCAAGTGCAATGCAAAGCGTCGGATGCGGTGGTGTAAAGCACGCCGCCACTGGACTCTAGAGCAGTGGAGACGCGTTCTCTGGAGTGACGAATCGCGCTTCTCCATCTGGCAATCTGATGGACGGGTCTGGGTTTGGCGGTTGCCAGGAGAACGGTACTTGTCTGACTGCATTGTGCCAAGTGTAAAGTTTGGTGGAGGGGGGATTATGGTGTGGGGTTGTTTTTCAGGAGCTGGGCTTGGCCCCTTAGTTCCAGTGAAAGGAACTCTGAATGCTTCAGCATACCAAGACATTTTGGACAATTCCATGCTCCCAACTTTGTGGGAACAGTTTGGAGCTGGCCCCTTCCTCTTCCAACATGACTGTGCACCAGTGCACAAAGCAAGGTCCATAAAGACATGGATGACAGAGTCTGGTGTGGATGAACTTGACTGGCCTGCACAGAGTCCTGACCTCAACCCGATAGAACACCTTTGGGATGAATTAGAGCGGAGACTGAGAGCCAGGCCTTCTCGTCCAACATCAGTGTGCGACCTCACAAATGCGCTTCTGGAAGAATGGTCAAAAATTCCCATAAACACACTCCTAAACCTTGTGGACAGCCTTCCCAGAAGAGTTGAAGCTGTTCTAGCTGCAAAGGGTGGACCGACGTCATATTGAACCCTATGGATTAGGAACGGGATGTCACTTAAGCTCATATGTGAGTCAAGGCAGGTGAGCAAATACTTTTGGCAATATAGTGTATATGCCACTTTACTCAAAGGGAAGGTAAACTTCTTTTTTTAAAGTGAGTTTTCTAATGTTTTTTAAACTCTCTAGGCTGAAACCCAGCAGTTAGTTTCTATCTAGAATCCGGCTCCCTGTGTGAGTGGCCTTTGGGCTGCATCTACTCAACTCTGCCAGATATTATGTCAACACAATGCTCTCCCCCTCCCCTCCCCGTGTAGATCTATGATCCTGCTTCATGTTTGGCTGGTTGGTGAATATTACATTATACCATGGAGGATAATGTCTCCAGGGACAGTGCTTCATGGACTGACTTTGAACACAAGCATGTATGGATATAAACATATGGACGCCTCACGCCAGCCTCCACCTTCCTTCCCTCTTCCAAGATGTTGTGTTGTCTCCGTCATTAAACAGGATGTTGGACCCAGAATTCGAGGCGAGACGGACAGCGGGAAAATTCAAAGGTGTTTATTAAAACAATAACTGAAGCGGCTGTGCACCATCCATCACTGGATACTGCAGTGGAGAAAAACACAGGTTAGTGACCACGATAATCTGTTGGAAGATTATTATCCATGAGAATCACTATCCTGGTTTGACAGCTCAGTCCACCTCCATAGAACGAGGTAGGATCCAGCTGGAGGGCTGCCAATTAGAGACTGACACGGGGGTGGATTTTCACTCCCGTCCCACTCCCACAGAAAAAAATAGTGTCCCGTCCCGATTCCGGGCCAGAGTAGAAATCTAAATCCTGTCCCGTCCCACTCCTGGTGAAATTACTCCCGCTCCCATTCAGAATGACTCCCGCTCCTGCACCACTCCCATTCTTGTTTTTGTTTTTTGAGCGTGGGTGAAAAACTCAGAGCGGAAGCACTGTTGGTTTTTGGGTCGTGTAGTTTTTTTGACTCGCATTATAGTGTAGGCTTCAAGGAAAAAAACTACAAAATGGCGGCGCCAGTACTGGATTTTTTTTCTTTCTATTTTATTTTATTTTTTGGCATCGATCCTAGTTTTTTTTGTTACTATTGGTTTGCTCCCGCTCCCGTCTGCTCCCGTTAATGTCTAATCCTGTACCGTCCCAATCACGTGATCGTTACTAATACTGACTCCCATCCCACTGGAATACCACGGGAATCCTGTGACCCGTGGTATTCCCGAAAAAATGTCAGTCTCTACTTCCAATCAGAGGCGGCGTGCGTCTCCCAGAGTGAACCAGATGCTGCAGTCCTGGATGGCAAACATTAGTCCGAGCCAGGTCAGGGAAACGGGTCAGAACAGGAACAAGCTGGTTCAGGGTTCCAGGAGTCCAGAGAGAGCTCAGGCAGAATGTTTAGATAGGAACAGGCAAGCTCAGTGGTGGAGAGGCAGAACAGGGCAAGATATCAGGAATACTGCGAAAAAACAGCTCCCTCCCCTGATCCAAGACAGGAACAGGATACGCTCAGTGGATAAGAAGCAGAACATGATCAGGATCTCATCATCAGGATGAGAACACGAACTCCAGCAGGAGCAATGATCTGGCCCTGATACCTGAGACTGAGCCGTATATAACGAAGCAGGAGCAGGTGGATTAGATGAGTGGTAATTGGAAACCGGGCAGAGTTAGGCAGGTGAATGAAATGAGCAATTAAGGTAAAAAGTCTTTCAAAGAAATAAAACGTGATTATAAAATAAATGAATATGTAAATAAGTAAAAATAAAATGCAATGTTTTTTTATTTTACTTCATTATGTCATTTATTTAATAGAATATGTATTATTAATTTATCAAAAGAAGCATTTATTTAGTTCTGAATGAAGCGGCTCTCCATAAGAAACGACCTCTCTGGATTTATTACGTTAACAGATCTCTGGTTTCAGGCTCACCTGAGGTAGGCGTGTCCACCTGCAGGATGTCGCCTGTCTGTCTCTATATATGCTGATGACTGGATGATTGCAGAGGACAGCTGCTTTCACACCAGAGGAGGAAACACTGCGTTCTAAGGTAAAGATGTTAAATATTTTCCATTGATACAAGAGAAAACAGGACAGTTAATTAGTCATATGTCTTATTTTCATATTTATTATTTATTACATATTTAGTCTTATTTTCTGTTATTGATATAAACTAATTACATTTTATTGCACTTGTTGACCTCTGTCAAGTTCTTTAAGGGCTACAGAGGGCAGCTAAGCTTTCTGATAAAAATATTTATTTTTCCAACCATTTAAAAACAATAATTGCAGAGATAAAAAACTCTGCCTATAAAGATACTTATAAATGAATGAACATTTAAAGAGTAAATTCCCAGTTGTTAAAGTGAGGTTCTGTGAAGTTATAAAAAAAATCAGAGATCGCTCAGAAAACTTGTTTAAAATACTGATTATCTTGTAGATCAGTTGAAGCAATGAATTAGATAAACACCAACTTTTTATCTGAGTTTAGGAGTTTATAACAATTAAAAAGAAAAAAAGCTGACATCAGTGTGATAAAGCTGCTGGGTGTAATTCCACTGATTTTGGGTTTCATAAAATAATCTTCAAACAGCTGTGATTTTGGAAAGTCCAGGAACAATCAGTGGTAATAATACACAGCCGACCATCTTTAAGATGTGAATATTTTTAGCTTGGTTTGTTGAAAATAGGTACTTCCGCCTCTCTGCCTCCGTAAACTTTGCTTATAATATTCTTACTTTTTACCTTTTTATCTCTTTGCCAAAGCTAAAGAAATTTGCACAAATCTAAACCTTTCAAGGTTTCTCTAGCTCAAATACTTTTTAAACATTTGATGTTATTTTGATCACGCTGGAGAGAAGGACAAATCCCCGTTACCAAACACTGTCTGAAAGCACAGTGGTTTTAAACACATTGCATCAATAACTAAACACCAAAAGTGAGAAATAATGTAATGATTCTAATGACAGCAACCAGACCAGTAGCTTTTACTGGGAAACTGTTGGAGTAAAGCCAAAGAACAAACAATTCAGCCCAGATATGAAAAGACGCCTGAAAGGACAAACATCTTATCTAGATGGAAAAATCTGGACAAAAAAAAAAAAAAACAACAGGTGCAAAAAGCTGTTTGTTCCTAAAACAAAGAATTTCTGAGAATATGGGAATTCTGCTAAAAAAAGAAACAGGTTTTCTGCTTTACAGGATAAGCCTGAGGAGAGCAGTCTGTTTCCAGACAACAGAAATATGACGACATCCAGCAGCATCATAACAGATGAGCTGCTACAGCAGCAGCATTAATAGTAACTGGAGATGCTGGGAATGAGATCAAACTCTGCTGCAGGAAGAAGAACAGAAATACTGGATTCTGGCTTTAAGCAGAGATGGCAAAAGTACTCACTTTCCGTACTTGAGTAAAAGTACAGATAGCCTACTTGTGTTAAAAAATACTCTGGTAAAAGTGGAAGTACTGGTTAAACTTCTTTACTCAAGTAAAAGTAACAAAGTACAGGCTTGTAAATTTACTTAAAGTATCAAAGTAAAAGTAGAAACCACTTTTTTCATGCCGTTGCCTACATTTTAAATGGATGTCTGCCAATAGGACTAGATCTCCGTTGTGTTCATTTTCAATCATCTCGTCGTCCATGCTACTATGCTAACGCCGCCGCCACCAAGCTGCGATGATTTGCCGCCAATGAATACCGCCGAATCTGTGGATTCATCTTGTAGTGGTGCGTCAAATGCAACGTAGATTCCCATCCAATTAGATTGAATTTGGTATTGATGACGTGAAAAATAATAACGGTAACTCCATTGAAATGATTCAAAACTAAAGTAACGAGCCAATTTTTAAAAATGTAAGGAGTAGAAGTAAAAAGTCGCCATAAAAATAAGTAGTAAAGTAAAAATATCAGAAAAATCTACTTGAGTACAGTAACAAAGTATTTGTACTTTGTTACTTCCCATCTCTGGCTTTAAGATGGCGTCTGAAATCTCAAAGAGGGTCACCCAGATCACACAATCCAACTTTGATGAATTTAGTGATAAAAGCAGAGTGCGAAATACGGGGGAGTCTGGGGGGCTCGACCCCCCAGATTAACCCATGAGACCCCCTGAAAGCCTCAAAAGCAAAATTTAAAGGGGGTCTTAAATTGTGTCAAAAAAATGAAAAAAAAACTTTTTTTGTCACTATCGGGTAATAAAATGTTTTTAAGCTCAAAATGTCCAGTATTTAAAATTCAAAACATTAATTCACAAATATGTTCTGTTTCTTGCCAAGTGGAGGCGGCCAATCCTGTAATAATAATAATAATAATTTTTCTGCTGCCATTACCATCTGCCTTTTTGCACTAGTATTGCATATTTTATATTATTGTACATTTTATATTCTATAGTGAAATTGAATGTTTAAATTTTAGTATTAGGAACTGATCTTATCTGTTGCACCTGTGCACTTTATCGGTTTCACTGTTGGTGAATGAGAAACGAACGTCCTCTCCAGTCCTTGTATGTCTGGTGAATGTGAAGAATTGACATTAAAGCTGAATTTGATTTGAAATGTTATAGGCCTACTGCATATTGAGAAAATTTAGATTGTATTGCTCAACAATCGGGAGATGGGAACCCCCCCCAAATATTGACAGGTATTTCCCACACTGGATAAAAGCCTAAGCTAAGCTAAGCTAAGCTAAGCCCTTTTTTTAGCCGTCCACTATTGATGGATGTGGACATAATTTTACAAAAAACATAATAATATCACTGGTAAAAAAGCTAAAAACTTAAATTATTATAAAAATGACTTAGAAAAAAAATCAACTTCATGTTCACATCTGTTTTGCAATATTATACCAAAAAATGGCATAATTAAATCATGTAATGTATGAGCCTGGTCTGAAGTATCAATGTTAGACCCCTTATCAAGTAACAGATTTTGGTGAGACAACTGAAATGAAGCGTTCTTGGTTCGGGGCATCAAGGCTTCCACCTCTGACCGATCCTATCTGCACCCGTCCATAGGACCAATAGGGGATGACCTCATGTCGCTCCTTCGGACCGAGGCCGGATGAGTCCCGCAAGTACCACCATGCTCTCACCAACATGTGCTTCCCGCAAGGCTGTATACTTGGCCCTTTGTAATTTATAAATGATTGCTTAGAGACTTAGAGACTTTGACACTGGTACAAGTCAGTGTCAAAGTCGCTACTAAAGGGAACAGGTTCATCAGGTTAGAACCATTAGGTAACTATGGATGTGGCACAAAAACTCCAAGAGATGCAATGGATGCATGTTTTGCAGTTTGATCATATTTCCATGTTTTAAACTGAAGGAAGGGGAGTCTTTTTAGAAAAGCCCAACCAGGGACAGTAGTCATTAAATGCAACACTCCAGTGATATACTTACTTTTAGCATTACATTGTCCCTGTCAAATGAAGCTGAAATAAAATGAGGCCTATCGGCTTTGCTATTCCTTAGTATTTCCCTTATCTGATTTTTCTGAAGAGGAAGTAGAGTAAATAATGATCGAACTAAAGAATTAGGATGTTCTCAGCACAAACGCTTATAAAGCAGCCTGATTATCATTAAACTAGCAGTTTCCTCAACAGTTAAGAATCTCCTGCACTGCTGATGCTTTGTGTGAGTTGTTTTTGCATCAGTGGGTAAAACTGCTGCGTTGCAGCAAGAAGGTTCTCGGTTTGACTCCCAGCCCAGGGTCTTTCTGCATTGAGTTAGCATTTTAAGTGATAAGTGTGACAGAATGGATGGATGTTTAAAGCTCTACATTCTTCTGCACTTCTTAATTATTTTAATACTCATGTTCCCCAATAAAAAAATCTCTCAAACAGGTTCCACTTTGAAGATGGATAAGAACAGAACCACCATGGAGACAAGTTACAATCACAGCAACAATCAAACTGATTCCTCACTGGCTAAAAATGAAAGCTTGATCTGCTGGCAAAATGATGGAAGAGAAGATTTATTATCAGAGGTCGTCATCTACGTCTATATTCCCTTCTTCCTGTTGGCCATCTACAGTCTAACTTCTCAGGTAAGTATTACAGTAATAATTCAACTGTATTGATCTCACAATGGGGAAACTCCCTCTCTGCATTTTAACTCATCCCCTCGGATAGCAGTGGGCTGCCATTGTGCGGCACCCGGGGGCCAAATGGGGGTTAAGGGTCTTGCTCAAGGACCCAGAATGGAGGCTGTGGGGATCAAACCGCTTGTTAGCTTATCGCTTTAGCTTCTCTAGGCTAACAGGGTCTCCCTGTTCTGCCGTGCTAATGCAGGGCCCGGTACCCACTGCTGCAGGTTCCCTGCTTGGTCCACTGCAGCGTCCTTTAATCCAGAGCAAACTGGGGTTTATTATTATTATTATTAATATAAAGCAGAAGGTCTTGGTTTTCTTACACGTTTCCTTGCAGTAAAGGAATCGTCCCTGATTTCAGAGGAGAGTCCCAGTTTTGAAACATTTCTAGTCTGTGTTTTCAGAGTTGTCTGTGAGCAGTTTTAATATTTCTTATGTGAAAATAAACCTTCAAACATGGGTGTTTGTTTTCACAGATGGACATATTCAAGTTGCACTAAAAAAAAGGAGTCAGTAAAGGAGAAATTATGCAAGAGAGATAATCACCTGGTCACATCTGCATTTCTTACAATGGTTGTTTTTTTTTTCTAATTGGCATCTGCAGCATTTCATTAATGCAATAATAGGACCACGCTAGATATGTATACATATATATTCTTGTATTTATTTATTTTTTTTAAATACAAGAAGAAAGTCATCATATTATGAAAATAATGTTGTAACATTATAAAGTCAGAATATTAAAAGAATAAAGTTGTATTTTAATACAACTCTTACAAGAACACTGTCCTCCCTAAAATGAGGAATCTTTAGCATCTTCTGAACTTCGGTTAATAGAAATTTTCAGTCTTTTAGCATCATATATTTACCAGTATGTCTAAGACAAAGTGGACTCAGGTTGCTGGTTTGTGGTGCTGGTCAGGTTGTAGTATGATGACTTCCTTCTCATAATTTTATGACTTTACTCTTGTAAATTTATGTTATTCTTGTAATATTATGACTTTTTCTCATAATATTACACATTTATAATGTTACAACATTATTCTCATAATGGTAGGAATTTATTCTCATACATTAGCTTAGGAAACTGGTTTATAAAAGTAAATAAGTATTTATATTAAGATTATACAGGTGTCACATCCTCTTCCCCTTAGAAACAGTCATTTCAACCGAAAATCTGTAAATGAACAATATATTTACTTGTTAAATGAAAGTTTATGGTACGGCCTCGGCCTACCATCTAATGTGATGGGACTGTGATGTTATATCTATCCTAAAACACAGAAGAACTGAAAGAAGAGGAAATAGCAGAAAAGTAGTTAGACTGTCAGAAGAGTTGAAGTCAGAGAAGAAAAATTAACCGATTGAAGGACAATGGAAAAATTGATGGAAGAGTGAAGAATAAAGGTGGAAAAGAGCAGGAGGGTATTGGGAAAAAGATGGAAGGAAGAAGAGAGACCAGGGGAAAGATTTAACAGGTTTATTGAAGAGATAATGCAGAATCCAGTGTTGCTCTGAACACTGTTCAACCGGAACTGAAAAGTGAGGGGAAGACAAAGCGGTTACTTCAGGCTCAGTAGGAAATTTGATTCTTGGACTTGAAGAGGAGGATTTGGTAGCTGACTCACATTTCCTGCAAAGTGGTTGACTCTTTGACTCCAGTCTGTGTGCTGTAGTTCCAGTGTTTGTCTGATTAGGTGGAGGGTGGACAGGGTTTACCCAGAATGCGAATGTTTGTAGGTGAATGGAGAAGCTGACTGCCACTCAGATTTCCTGCGGTACTTGAACGGGTCATAGTGGAGATGAATCCCTTTCTCAGTGTGAAGCTCAAACGATCTCTTTAGGAAAAGTAGATTCAAACCTCCAGTTTAAATCCTTAGCTCAGTTTGAAGCTCAGATGATCCTTCCAGGGAGAGAAGGTCCGAAACATCCAGTTTGCAGGATGATCACCGTCCTTTGTTTTCCAGATACGAAGTGAACGGGTTGTTCCAGTCTTCATCGTCAACCTTCTAATCTCAGACGTCCTTCAGGTCGCCTGCATGGCTGTTCACATCGTTTCTGACATGACCAGTAGAGACAGGTTCTACCTTATTTATACCTACTATGGTTTTGTTATAGCCAGTGTTTTCTTCATGACCCTCATTGCCCTGGAAAGGTAATCGTCTTTATAGTTGTTCTAAAATGTTGAGTTCTATTGATCCAATCAAACAGAAACTGGTCATTTTGCCTTGTATAGACTGTTGACATGTGTTTTTTTGTGTGTGTGCGACAGATATCTGATGATCGCCCACCCGCTGCGGTACAGATTCAGCAAAACAGCAAAGATCTCAGTCTGGGTCTCTCTCATCACCTGGATAATCTCTATATTAACAGGCTTTGTTAGCGCTGGCTACCCTGGAAGCAGTCTGCTCCTTCCCTTCCCTTTGATGATATTCTCTCTTGTTGGGACCTTCAAAGCTCTGTCCACTGTTCAGTCCGTCCATGCTGCTGAGAAGCGACGGATTGTTGGGGTTTTGGTTGTGGTGTTTTTAATTTATACCGTCACATTCTTGCCTTTTGTTTTAGCTCCATTGCTGTCTGTTTTTTCAACTCGCTATCATACCATTTTGCTGTCCTGGAACTTTGTTGATTTTTCCTGCACGGCAATTCAGATAAACCCTCTGACAGACATATTTCTTTACATTCTGTTTAAGAAATGGTTCCTAGACAAGCTTTTAACATTTTTGTGTTGTTGCATAAAAAATAGCGATGAAGCCCAACAGATAGTGGATGAAACAGAAAGCTCCTCGTCCAAAAGAAAACACCAAGAAAACCCAAGAAATTTAGAGGAGGATACAAAAGACATTTGTTAAGAGCTACAACCAAACTATTGTCAGTTTAATGAATAGAAAGATGTATAGAACTTTCCATGCATAACCCTAAACCTAGGCTGAGCTAAAACTTTGCTAAGGTCTAAATCAGAGGTCATGGATTAGCAGACTGACGTAGCCTATGGATCTAGACCCACCTGCTGGCTAATCTGGACCCAACCTGATTTAAAACATTTATAAATTACCGCATGTTGTCCAGCGACAGTGTCTAATTTCACTTGCGCCTCTTCTCCTGTTAATACGGTAAAGCCCTGGGGAGCGTCCGGCTCCAGGCTGCGCGTGATCCAAATGAGCCAAAGAGCTGTCAGTCTGGGTTGCTGCTGCTGCTACTTTTAGACACAGCAGGCAAACCTGTGGCAAGCCGGGCGATGGGAAAGAAGGAGAAGACCATGAGAAAAAGAGAGCAGAGAAAGTGTGGACTGCTGGAAGAACTGCGGTGAACTGGTGAAAGAAAAGTGAAATGGCGTGCTCAAAGATGACCCTGCACATTTAGAGGATGTTTGGCTCAACCTGCTGCTGTGAAGCAGGATTCTCCACCATGAACAGAATCAACAATAAATCTGGATCCAGGCTCAAAATGAGCTCCTTGATATGTGCTTGAGAATGGCTTAGTCTCTGGTTAAACCCAGGTTTAAAGCCTTGCAGGGCAGCCTAAAGCCCACTGCCAACATTAAGACAGAAAAAAGAAAGAAAATAACAAACCATCAGTTCAGTTTGAGAAAATGTGGGAATCAGGAAATTATCTATAAACCAAATTGAATGATTGTTGTTCTCTACTTCAAAAACACTTTAAATTTTAAAATGGAAAGATTTTCTATTTTTTTCTATTTTTTATTTAAAAGCTAAATGTAAAACATGGATGCATAAACACCTCATTTTTATTTCAGTGTTAAATTCTGTTAAAGTAACAGATTACAATTAAAAATGTATCTGGACTTTTACTGGTTGTTGATTTTCTTTATTTTTTCCTGATCTTCTGCTGATTTTTAATCGGTTACTCCTGGTCTAAATCAACGTTATTGTCAGATTGTTATCTGACAAAAAAAGCATAAGATTTTCTAAAATAATAAATGTAATAATGTTTAATAACTTCCGCCTCTCTGCCTGCTCAGACCATCTCTCCTTCATTCCCCGCTTCTTATAATATTTTGATTTTTACCTTCTTATATCACCAAAAGCCACAGAAAATTGGACACAAAAAAAACATTTCAAGGATTTTTTTTATCAAACTGGGGAGAAGGACAAGTCCACCTCAGCACAAAATGCCTCCCTTCATCACATCAGCATCGTCTTCATCACATCTTAAACTAACTTCTCCATAAAACAGCTGCTTTGGAAATGAAGCTTAACTGACAGGAAGTGAATGTGGAGGTAAATCCTCCTTATGAGAATGATTTGACCCCTGACTCTGCTGGTGTCTGAAAACAATGAGATAACCCCAGCAGAGGTTAAAACACATTGCAGCAACAACTAACCAAAAGGAGCTGATTCTACAGACATTCATCAGATCTATAGATTTCTTTGGGAAACTCTTGGAGCAAAGCCAAGGACAAACAATCCAGCCCAGAACTAAAAAGGTGCCTGGCAGGACAAACATCTTTTAGACCAAACTGTGCCCAGACTTCAGAGAAACATGTCCTCTACGTCAAGTATCAACAGATGCAAGGAGCCGTTTGTTCCCAAAACAAAGAAAGAGAAAGGACCCAGTGAGATTACTGAGAATATGGGATTCTGCTTTACAGGATAACCCTGAAGAAACAGTCTGTTTCCTGACAACAGAAAAAACTATGATGGCATTCAGCTCTCGCAAACATCCTCATAATAAAAAGATTCTGAGCCAAGAACGATGGAGCCTCGGTTAAAGTTCAAACTAAAGAAACTCATCGCCCGCCTACATCCACCTGCGACAGCCAATCAGCTTTGAACCACGCCTCCATGAAAGCCAATCAGCATCCAAAGCTCATCTTAAAAGGCCTCCGATGCGCACCTGTCTGCTACCTGGTGCGCAGGCGGCGGATGAGCTGTTTAACTTTATTGAGATGACTGCGTTTCAACCCCCCTCCATCCCCTCCCCCACCATCGTAGCTAAAGCTTCATCAGAGCGTCATTCCTCCTGGACTCTTACTGCGTTCCCTGTCTCATCTCAATAGGTCCAGCAGAAAACTGCCATGTTGAGCCTGGTTCTACCAGAGGTTTCTTCCCAACGGGGAGTTTTTCCTCTCCACTGTCACTTCATGCTTGCTCATCATGGACAGGTTCTCTCCACCTGTGTTATCCAACTGGACTTCCATCTTCCAGGTCCCTGAGTGAAGCTCCACTATCAGCTCACACAGTCCACTGGATCTCCCCATAAAGCTCAGCAGACCGTCTCTCTAACCAGCAGTCTACAGACTGACCAACTCCATCTATATCCACTCCACCACCAGTGAATTTATTGAATTTAATGAATTTATTTACATAAAAATGTCCAATCATCCAATGATGACAATATACTGTATGCCTCAATTATATTTTCAGGAAAGTTTTTTTTAACACGGCTAGAGATCATAATGCATCAGACCCAAGAGGAATTAAAACACACTGAAATATTTGTAACATCTTTATTAAATATTCAGTATTATTAACTCATTTACATATACCGTAATCCACTAACCAAGAGCAAGTTTAATGATAAATTAGAGCAGATATATATACATACATACACTGACATATATTACTAACACAACTAGAAACAATCTGTAAAAATTCTGCATAAAGCATCACATCACCACACTGTGTGTTTTAGGTATCAGGTTTAGCAGAACTGGGTGGGATTCTCTGTGAAATGCAGTGAACCAGAGGAACGACTCTGGACTCCTGAACCTCAGAAGGAGCAGATCAAACACTGACAGCTGGTCCAGTTTCAGCAAAGCTCAAACCTAGAAAATAAACCCCTGGTGGCTTTAACTGCAAACTGTCCTAATGAAAAAGCAAAAAATGACCATACTGGGATCAAATGTGGCTGATGTAACCAGAACTATTCCCCTCTGAAGGCACATCTCTCCAGCTGAGCTTCTAGAACGGACAACTTCCTGTTTGACTTCCTGTTGCTTTATGCAATTGGCCGCATAAGGCTAGGTGAGCTCTTACAGCTGAAGGCTACGCTGAAGTAGATTTCTCCAGAGAGGTCTGTGCTCGCTGTACCAAGTCAGACTATATTGCCTACAAATAAGAAGGAGTTGATCTTAGATGCTTCCTGTGATTCAAACCAAGTTGAACGCAGTGTTTCCTGAAACCGCCGTCATGTTATTGAAAAGAGCGCACTGAGTCAAACTGTATCATCATTATTCATTTATTCCAGGATCATCAAACTTCCAGCATGTGCTTCCCATAACAATACCTGTCACCTGGACTACCAGAACATGTCACTCTTTTATGATGTCATCATAGGTAGCCATTTGTTTTATACATACATAACAATAACACCACATCTCTCCTGTCTAGAATCAATGGGTGGACTACCATTGATTCAACAGACCTAACAGGATTATTCTGCCTCTATAGCTGGAAGGTCTATTTCTACATAGAGTTAGAAAAAAACCCTGAATCATTCTTAAACTTTAAGCATAATTGTTGCACCAATTATTTCATTTTCTTTAGCTACAAGTTCAGTCTATCTGGTTTCACAATCTGTCTTCCAAACCTGCTTGTATGAGTAGGTGAAAGTTTAGCAAAGCTCTGCTCTGTAGATTCTTTAGAACTTGGTTGAACTTCTTCTGCAGCAACATCACCTTCCGGTACATCTGGCTCTGTCGAAGGCTCCATAGGAACCGGATGATGACGATTTCACCTAATCGATACATGGGGTCTATCCACAATGAAGGTGGAGTAGAATGATTGGTAACCACTGCTCCTCCAACACCTTAACCACTCAGGGTGCAGATTAGGAAGTAGAGTTGTAGTTCCACACACCTCTCTGTAGCTTCTCTACTGTTACCCACTCATTACTCTATCCAGTGTCTTTCCCATGACCAAATTCAAATAAATTAGAAGAGATTCCTTACAGAAACCTGGCTGCAGCAAGAGGATTATTTGAGCATAAATGAGGCAACTCCTTCAAGCTATTTAAATTTTCACATCCCCAGAAGTTCTGGGCGAGGAGGAGGAGTAGCAACAATTGTCATGATGGGTTACGGAGGCAAGCCCAAGATGCACAACACACACGGAGGAGGCAGGGAAAAAGTTCAAATGTTTATTAAAGGTTCTGAACACGAGAGAATAAACAGTTCTGAGAATGTTTCACTGAAGTATTGACTGGGACTGGAAACTGTTGGTTAGCAGAGTTCATGAGAAGCTAAGCGTCTAGCTTCAGGCTTAGCATGGCAGACCTTGATCTGAGCTTCCAGCTCACTGCAGAGAACAACAGGAAATATCCACATAGGATTCTTCAGGCTGATTCCACATAGGAACCTTCAGGTAAACTCCACATAGAAGTCTTCGGGTTAAATTCACATAGGAATCTTCAGGTTGGCTCACCAGGGCAGATAGCAGGTTAAGCTCACCTAGAGCTGCAGGCCAGAGACAGGTTTCCTGTGATGCAGCTCTCCCAGAGCTGCAGGCCAGAGACAGGTTTCCTGTGATGCAGCTCTCCCAGAGCTGCAGGCCAGAGACAGGTTTCCTGTGATGCAGCTCTTCCAGAGCTGCAGGCCAGAGACAGGTTTCCTGTGATGCAGCTCTCCCAGAGCTGCAGGCCAGAGACAGGTTTCCTGTGATGCAGCTCTCCCAGAGCTGCAGGCCAGAGACAGGTTTCCTGTGATGCAGCTCTTCCAGAGCTGCAGGCCAGAGACAGGTTTCCTGTGATGCAGCTCTCCCAGAGCTGCATCACAGGAAACCTGTCTCTGGCCTGCAGCTCTTCCAGAGCTGCAGGCCAGAGACAGGTTTCCTGTGATGCAGCTCTCCCAGAGCTGCAGGCCAGAGACAGGTTTCCTGTGATGCAGCTCTTCCAGAGCTGCAGGCCAGAGACAGGTTTCCTGTGATGCAGCTCTCCCAGAGCTGCAGGCCAGAGACAGGTTTCCTGTGATGCAGCTCTCCCAGAGCTGCAGGCCAGAGACAGGTTTCCTGTGATGCAGCTCTTCCAGAGCTGCAGGCCAGAGACAGGTTTCCTGTGATGCAGCTCTCCCAGAGCTGCAGGCCAGAGACAGGTTTCCTGTGATGCAGCTCTTCCAGAGCTGCAGGCCAGAGACAGGTTTCCTGTGATGCAGCTCTTCCAGAGCTGCAGGCCAGAGACAGGTTTCCTGTGATGCAGCTCTCCCAGAGCTGCAGGCCAGAGACAGGTTACCAGTGAGGCAGCTCTTCCAGAGCTTCACGAGGAGACAGGAGGTTAAGCTCATCCAGAGCTTCACGAAGAGACAGGACTCCTGTGAGGCAGAAACAAGGAAGAGTTAGAATCTGATCTCACACTAGAGATAACCAAGGTTCTTCCAGTAACAGAGGCTCAGGTTGCTAACCAACTAAGATCAACACTGCGGCATGGAAGCAAGGTCTGGCAGGAGCTTATAAAGGGAAGGTCTCCTAATGAGTAGATGGAAATCAGGTGTGCAGGAAGGTTCCAGCCCTAGGAGACCCATGGCGCACTCTGCTGGAGACAGGGGGTAATCTCCAGATCCCAACAGTAACTCCAGTCCTAAAAGAAAACAACAAAGAGCAGAAGAGGATCCTCGCACGCCGTCTGATGGGCAAGCCTGAGGATCCCAACAACAATCTTCCAGTCTGACTTACTGATTACTCCCAAAACAGTTAATACCTGCAACTCTTTTGAACATTTAACCCTTAATTTCCCTCATCCAAATTTCAAGGCAAGAAAACCTCTTCTTTTTGTAACTTTGTATCGTCCACCAGGTCCTTACTCTGAATTTTTAGATGAGTTTTCAGAGTTCCTTTCTGATTTGGTATTAAATACTGACAGGGTCATCATAGTGGGAGATTTTAACATCCATGCTGACATTGAAGGCGATAGCTTAAGAGCAGCCTTTAATGCTATCTTAGACACTATTGGCTTTGTTCAAAATGTGAATAGTCCCACACATTCTCATCTTCATACTTTGGATCTTGTGCTGACATACGGCATAGAATGTGAAGAAATAACAGGATTTCCTCACAACCCTGTCCTCTCTGACCACTTTCTAATAACCTTCAGGATTACTTTAACAGAGTTCTCCTCCCCCAAAAGAAGGTTACATTTTAGTAGATCTTTGTCAGATAGTGCAGTTATACATTTTAAAGAATCTGCTTCACTTTCTCTCTCCTCTGTGTCACTGAGCAGTGCTGCAGAGTGCAAAAGCTTAGCTTATTCCCCTTCACAGGTTGATGATTTTGTTGATGGGGTTGCTAGTTCTCTGCGTATTGCCTTAGACAACGCAGCTCCTTTGAAAATGAAAAACTTGAAAAAATAGAAAGCTTGCTCCTTGGTTTAATGCAGAGCTGCACAGAGCAAAATACTAAAAACTGGAGAGAAAATGGCGCTCTACATGCCTACAGGAATCCTACGTAGTCTGGAAAAAAGTTTACTGCTGTATAAGAGGACCCTTTGTAATTCAATTCTATTCAGTTTATTTCTATAGCTCCAATTCACATCATGTCATCTCAGGTCACTTTCCAGTTCACCAGATCATCCAGTCAGATTGATTCAAAGTTTTCTATCTAAGGAAAACCAGCTGATTGCATCGACTCATTGACTCTTCAGCAATCCCTCACACTAAGCATGCTTGTAGCGACAGTGGAGAGGAAAAACTCCCTATGACTGCATGCTGGAACTTCAGCTGGAGATCAAGGCTTTAATGTTTCTGACAGAAGAAAAGTTTTAGATCCAGGAGGTTTCTGTCTCTTATGAAACTTTAAGAACACGTCTGTTTCTTCTTCTCTTTTCTCTTCTGACCACAGTGTCAGACAGTGTTGGTTTACTACTTCTGGTTTTACAGCCAAACATTCAAGTTCTCATCTCTAAAGATTCCTAATAAGGAGCCTTGTCACTGAGCTGTGAAGAGTAACATACCCAAGGTGTTAAACATGTTTATTATTAAAGGAACCTTTTTCTGTTGAAGACAGTCTGGGTAAAGAGGAAGAAGGCGGCTCTAGTTGATGTTTTCTGCTGCAGTAAAACACAGTCAGGTCAGATCACTGACAGGAAGAATGGAGGGAACATCTCCACACCGTCTGATCTGTAAGTAGACAGGTTCTAGTCCGAGTCCTGCTGGGTTCAGCATTGTTCTCTATCTTCTCTACACGTCCAACAACTTTGACTTCACTGTAATCTGTCAGTATCATAGAATTACTGTAGATTCCATTGATCTGATGGTCTAATAAAGGACCAGCAGGTTCTGATTGTTGGCGCTCTATAGAACCTGACTGGACCTTTATGAATAACAGCATCAGACTATAGAAGCAGAGTTATTAGAGTCGATGTGAAGTCTGAATTAGAGCATTTCAGAGGATGTTGTTCTCAACGTTGGCAGCTTTAGTTTGTAATTGATCCACTTTTTCCTCCAGTTCTGACCTTCCTGCTCTGCTGCTCAACAGATCAAGGTTGGTGAACTTCTGCCACATTAAAATGATTCCAGATATTTAAAGAAACCCTTTGGGTTCAAGCTGACCTCTGAGAGGTTAATGAAAAACAATCATCTGGAGAATTAATGAATATGATGAGTTTCAGTCTGATTAAAAACTGAAACCATGATGTGATCATTTCAGTCCTTCCAGCTCGTCTGACTGTGAGTCCCAGCAGATCTCAGTTCTTCAGAGGAGAGTCTGTGTCTCTGAGCTGTGAGGAGAACAGCAGCTCTGCTGGATGGACTGTATGGAGGAACACAACCAGAGGAACCAGGACTCAGTGTGGAGATGGATGGGGGAGACCAGCTGGTTCTACCTGCAACATCAGCTGGTTGTCCACATCAGACAGTGGAGTTTACTGGTGTTGGTCGTCCAGAGAGGGAGCAGCCAGCAGCAGCATCCAGCTCACTGTCACTGGTAAGATCAGACAGTGGAGTTAGTGTTGATGAAGCTGTGTGGAAATGGATGAAATGCTGTAGTTTGTCTCTGTGTTGAGGTGGATCAGTGATCCTGCAGAGTCCTGTCCTCCCTGTGATGGAGGGAGATGACGTCACTCTGAGCTGTCTAACAAAGACCACTCCCTCCAACCTCCCAGCTGCTTTCTATAAAGATGGCTCCCTCATCAGGACTGAGCCCAAAGGTCACATGACCCTCCACCATGTGACCAGCTCTGATGAAGGCCTCTACAGGTGTAACATCAGGGGTCATGGAGAGTCTCCATCCAGCTGGATCTTTGTTGAAGGTCAGAACCATGAAAACAATGTTTGAATGTCTAGTTTATAGAATGAAAATGGTTCATAATTATCTAATAAGTGTTTGTTTTCAGAGGAACCATCCCCCATTTCTGCTCCTACAACTTATCCTCCATTTACAAATTCTACTCCTACAACTTATCCTCCATTTAAAAATTCTACTCCTACAACTTATCCTCCATTTACAAATTCTACTCCTACAACTTATCCTCCATTTACAACTTCTACTCCTACAACTTATCCTCCATTTACAAATTCTACTCCTACAACTTATCCTCCATTTACAACTTCTACTCCTACAACTTATCCTCCATTTACAACTTCTGCTCCTACAACTTCTTCTTCATCTCTTGGCCACTTTCCTTCCTATGTTCTCCCGTTACTTTCCAAGATGATTCTTGTGGTTCTGCTGCTGGTTCTGCTGAGGAGACGATGCTTTCAGAGGAAATCTGAAGGTTAGAGGAACCTTGCTCATCCACCTTTGTTATGGATGCAAAGTTTAACACCAACAAACTGAAAATTATCTCAAAATCCTGTTTTATTTTTCAGGAAATCAGGAAGTTGGAAGGGAAAATATTACTTACAGTAATATCAACGTTTGAAAACAATCTTCAACAGAAAAACAAATCAAATGAAGGTAAAACTGTGTTTTTATTCTTGGTTTTGTTTTATGGGATTTTTTATCCATAATCAATGACTGAGGTGGATGACAGGAAATAAACCTTTTAGAAAAGGTTAATTTCTGAGCTCCTGTTTGGCAGAAGAGGAAATATAATCTATATAACCAGAGATAAAATAGTTTCCAATCTCTCATATTCATCCGAACTAAATTAGTTTAAAAAAAATACACATTTTGATAAAGGCAGAGAAGTTTTTATGTTAGAAACCTTTTCAGGAAGTCAGAAAATGTTCAAAAGCAGGAAGTAACTCAGTGATATCAGCAATATGAAGGAACAAACAGGAAACCATCTGTTGATGTTTTAGCGATAAAAGGATTTCAGTAAAGACACTTTTAGTCAAAGAGCTCAGATTATTTCAGAAAGTGACGTCCTCCATTGAAACATTATAGGATCCATGTTTTCTCAACTAGATTCATGTTGAGTGTTTGTGTTTTTAGACCAATCAGCTGTTATTAACCAGCCTTCTATATCAGGCTTACTACGTCACAGTCAGTTGCCCTCATTGGTCAGAGCGTCGGCCAATAGGGACAGACATGGTTTGAAAAACAACGGGTTGTCAGCCTCAGCAGATGGCCGCTCACACTGAGCCTGGTTCTGCTGGAGGTTTCTTCCTGTTCAAAGGGAGTTTTTCCTCTCCACTGTCACTACAAGCATGCTTAGTGTGAGGGATTGCTGAAGAGTCAATGAGTCGATGCAATCAGCTGGTTTTCCTTAGATAGAAAACTTTGAATCAATCTGACTGGATGATCTGGTTAAATAGTAAAGTGCCTTTAAATAAACATGTGTTGTGAATTGGCGCTATAGAAATAAACTGAACTGAATTGAAATCAAACACCCAATGAGTCCAGATCTGAAAGGCCCATAGAACCTCACCAGGTGACTCTCAGAGTCATCTTGGTGGAATCTCAGCCCATCCTCCCTGAACCCAGTTCAAGCTCCTTGGTTCTGGTGCTCTGAGTTTGCTTTTCCTCCCAGCAGATCACCTTCTAGTGTTGCGCCGATGCCATTTTTTGGCCCCGATACCCGATACCTGGCTGTGCCATATCGGCTGATTCCGATACCATAATAATGTAAAACAATCGCCATCATGGCTTCATGTCAAGCGCATGCCTACCTTTGTGAAGCAGGAAAAAATCTAATACAAAGTGAATCCAGTGCCCTATTTGTTGGTACTCGCCGATACCGATACCACCATTTTAGGGCAGTATCGGGGCCCTGTGCGATACTGGTATCGGTTTCAGTGCAACACTGTCACCTTCTCCATGCTGGACTGTTTGAAGTAGATTCTTCAGTCTCTGGAATAAAACAGGTTTTTGCTGCAGCTGTGATTAATCAGGTTTTAACGTTTTTGTGATTTCAGAGGTCTGACCAGGAACAGATGTTCTCTTTTCTTCAGGGAGATAATCCATGAATCCATCAATGATGACCAGCTCCTGCCTCCAGAGCCTAACATCACTTTACATCTGCAGAGTTTCCCTCACAAATGCATTCTGTTCATTATTATTCATATAAATAAATAAATAATATAAAAACCTTTTTCTGTTTTTCTTCGAAACTTTTCTGTTTTTTTTTTGTTTTTGTTTTTATATAAATCAAACTTGTTAACAAGCAGACAGTTCTTGTTTCTATAGATTTTCATTAGGTCCTTTTCTCACATAATGTTCTATCTCTTTTATAGACTGCTGAATGTTATGACGTGCATGTCTCTGTTTCATTTACATAAAATGGACATGAATGGTAATAATTCAGAAAGAGTGATTGTTTCAGTAATTGATTATACTGACAAATAATCAGATACTTAGAAAAATAAACTAGAAAAAGCTGTTTCGGAGAAACAGCAAGTGGGAATGCTTTTGCTGAATGAAAAAAGCTGAAATTACCTGAAGAACATATGAAAATGAGATAGGAAGTCATCAGAAAATTCAAACTGCAGAAAACAATTGAATCATCTAAAGATTTTGTAGGGTAGAATCATTTGGCAGTAAAACAGCAGAAACAAACTCATTTTAAAAGCTGCACAGCCAAACCATACATGATATCAAAAAATGTCTTGAATGTGGGCGCTAGAAGGGTCTTAATATAATGTCTCCCAAGTTTCTAGAAAAATGTATAAAGAAATTTTGAAGGGGGGCCTCCTACTGCCCAGAAACATGTCAGGCGTGTTATGAATTAGCAGCAAACAGAAAAGCTTAATTCCTGTCCAGAAAGAGAGCAGAATGAAGCCAAAGTTCACAGCATAGGCTGAAAAGTATTAAATTAGCTGAATCAGAAAATAAATTACAAAGAAAAACTTGAAATTTATCTGGTTGAAGAAAAAATGAGCAGCTTAAGGATGGGAAGTAAAATGTTGAGGAAGATGGTATTGAATAAGTATCAAAATTTTGAAATCATATGTGGAAATGTCAAGACTTGGCAAAACAATTTGAAATGATTTAAAATGTGTCGGTTGATCAGCATAAAGAAAACAGTGTCATCCTTAGAGGATTGAAAATCTACAAACCCATGTGCAAGACTGACCATGAGAAGCAGAGGAAGGACAGAGAGAGAAACCTATAGAAAGAGAGCTAATACCACTTAAGGAGCTGAATTTATCTAAAAACTAACCTGCATGTTACGAGCCGCTGTGTTGATGACAGCACCGTTGGCAGGCTTAGGCTGCATGTTACGAGGTTAGCAGATGCTTTATTACAGTGTAAATCTTAGAACCTGATTAAGAAATATGCACTGAGGTGTGTGGTCAACAGGCCTTGGTAGTGTAATTTGAAGTAATTGTTGAGTTTGGGTCATAGCTACAAGCCATACGGCACAATGAATGAGTGTATGTAAGGAAGAGGCTTTTATTTTGTAGGTTCCCTTTAGTCTTTTTTCAAAAGTCTATCATGGATGTGTGTCATGGGGAGGGTCATGCCCAGCAGTGATATAGAATCCATTTCTAAATATGAAATAACTGGTTTTCCATGTTATTGGGTGAATAGATGCTGTGTTAGAGCGTAAATGGGAGACTTTTATTGTGAAATTCGCTCTGGGGTGTGTTTTGAAAAGGTCCCTAGAGTCTAATAGAAGCAAGCTGGTAGAGTTTGGGTCATAATGCTGAGCCATTTGCATCAATTAATACGCGAGTATAATATAGAGGCTTTTATTGTGTAGGGTCACTGGAGTCTTATTTTGAAAGTCTCGCAGGGTTTTGTGTTGAGAAAAGGGTCAGACCCAGCAGTGATACTTGATGACTTTCCAATCGTTAAATCAATCTTTTCCCCTGTTATTAGGGCAGTAGATGAAGTGACAATGGGAGGATTTTATTTTGAAATTTGCTGTGGGGGGTGTTTAGAAAACCCCCCTAGAGTCTCATTTAAAAAAAGTGGTTGAGTTTGGGTGATAATGATCACCCATATGCTGGGGAAAAAAATATGAGTTTAATGTTGTGGCTTTTATTTTGTAGGGTCCCCGGAGTCTTATTTTGAAAGTCTATCAGGGTTGCGTGTGAAGGGAAGGGTCATGGCCAGTAGTTATATAGTATCCATTTCCAAATGTTAAATCAGTGTTGTCTCCCTCCATTAGATTAAAATGAGCTGTTTAAAGTGGCAGAGGTAAAATCCCTTTGAAGCTTGGTTACCTTGACAACGCTTAACGAGCCTGTCAGTGACAGAGAGAAAAGCGCTTCACTTTCGTTCCTTTCCTCTCAGGCTTTTTTTTAACGGGAAAATCAGCTCCGAACAAACGAGTGCTGAAGACAAACCGTAAATGTTATCTAAAAAAATCTTTCAGTCTAAGCGACAGCTATCCTTTGTCTCCAATTGGTTTAACTTTCATGGATGTAGCTCATTCACAACCTTAATGGGAAGGAGAAATAAAAACGTTTGTCACTCCTGCTGGTCTCATTAAACAACATGCAGCTCCATGGTAGAGCAGAGCTCTCAAAAGCAAAACTTCCCCTCCGAACAAACGAGCGGTGAGCCAAAACCGTAAAAGGTATTCAAAAAATTCTTTCACTGTTTGAGTCAGCCATCCTTCGGCTTCGACAGTGCCAACTTTCATGTTTCTACTAAAAACTATTTGGCCACGGTGACTATGTAAAAATGTATTTTTTCTGAGTATGAGGATTTTTCTCAGAATCAACGTTTTGGTATGCCCGAACAAGTCAGCTAAACAGCTAAACCATAAATGATATTGAAAAAAATTCCTCAATGTGAGTGCTAGAAGGGTCTGAAAATGTTCTATACCAAGTTTCATGTTTGTACATCAAATAGTTAAGAAATGGGAGCGATACGAAAATATGTATCGTTTTGGATTTTGTCTGTGATTTTTGTAAACTCTCTCATTGGATTTCTATTGGGGAAGTGTGCACTTCTTCGTGGTCTGGGCCAAACTGCAGGAAAACTGTAAATGCCACACAAAGGCGGGTTACATTTCCTGAATCCTGACAAAAATCCCTACGTTTTGATGTAAAATTTATTTTAATTGAGAGAAAAATGAGGGAGTGAGAAGAATTTGTTCGGAAAAACCAGAACAGCTCAAAAGCTAGAGCATGCACTCTAGCAGTTGAAGAATTCCGTCCATAGACTTCCATTACAAATCTGAAAATCTCTTTTAGAGTTTGAAGCTTCACTGAAGCAAAACTATAAAAGTTAGCAAAAAGCCGAGTTAATGAGTAATAGCAGAAAGATACGGAAACATTTTAAAAGTTGAATGGTGTTTCTAGCTGAAAGTATGCTGAAGTAGTTAAAGGTCAAAGATGATGAAGTTTTAGCTGAATTTTGCTGAAATGTAAGAATTCTACATGCATTTCAATGGGACAAAAAAAACGCAGAAAAAGCTGAACATCGCGAAAACTACAAAAAATATCTTTATGTGGCAGCATGCCCTGCAGGCTTTGAACGCACCACACAAGTGCCGAATCCAATTGGTTGTGGCGCTGTCTGTATATAAAGGGCCCGCCCTCACCTGGTCATCATGTTGTCCTTCCGGTTCAGACCTCGGTGTTTGCTGGCGCAGCACGCCAGCTGCATACGGATGCGCGCTCGAATGACGCGCTTTAAACTAAGCACTGATCAAGCCTTGTTGTGGTAAGAAGTTGTTTTATACTCTAATTCTGTTAGCCTAGCCTTAGCTCAGCTTTACTGATATATATGCAGGTGTCCCATACAAGCTGCCTGATTCTCCTCCTTGCCAGAGGCACTACATAGAGCCCAGTGGTAAGTGAAAGGCTCATTCTTCACATGCTTCTATTTCTATTTTTCCTGACATGCATGTTTGATTAGACGCTGCTGTTTGTCCTTGGCCGGCTGTTTGTCCTTGGCCGGCTGTTTGTCTGCTGTTCCCGGCCGGCAGTCCGCCTGTAAGCGTCCGTCGCCGGCTGCCTGTTACTTTGGCTGTCGGCTCCACGCCCGCCGTCCTGGTCAGCGCGAAGCTGCTTCCTGTCCCTCGTCCAGTGTGACTGATTCGGGCCGGTCTGTGACTGGCGTGAACCGATTCTTCTGGTGAATCTTTGGGCAGTGTCTGCTGCGGCGTGGGGGTTCATCCTCAAACTGACTTTATTGAAACTACTGCTGCTTGAGTCTTTGTGTACTGAACTGTTTTGATATGAAATGTGTGATTTGAATGTCTTTTTATTTTGGCAGAAACGGCCAGCTCCTGGTGTTGGTGGTGGACTTTCCGGGTGGTGGTACTCCTTTCGGTTTGGTGCACGATTTTCTTTTTTTTTTTTTTTTTTTGCTGTGTTCTTTTGTAGGTCACTACCCTGATTTACACTGCCATCCTGGAGTAGAGCTGTGACTGTTATTTTAATGTGTGAGTGGTTTTAAATTGCTTTGCTTCAAATAACTGTAATAAAATCATTGAATCTGGTGAGATTGTCTCAAGCCTCATCTTTAGCGGTCCTGTGTGCCTTCAAGGTAACTTTTAAGGGAATTAATGCAACCTTACATTAAATTTGCAGTTTTAAAGTGAGTTACCAATTTGGATCACTCAGTACCACTAAATTTACCAAAAGACATAGCAGGATTCTCCTGAACAAGCTGAACGTTTTGATACCAAAATTGTTGAAATCGGTTGAAAACTGCGGGACTAGTTAGAGTCAGAAAAATAAAAAGAGAAAGACAATAAGTGGGAATGGATAAGCCTTCCCACTTGATGACAGTCTGCACATTGAACAGCCTTCTCAGGCTCCCTGAAGGCCTGAAGAGGAGAGTCTGGCTGATGGTTGAATCTCAGCTTCAGGAGGAGCCTGTGGTTCTGGTTCTGACCGTGGATCACTGGACCAGCCCTACACTTTGCAGGGTTGATTGTCATCAGTTGTATTATTTTGACTATTAAGAATTTCATTCTATTTCAGATATCATATTTATATATTCAGTCAAGTTGATAAATGTCAGAACAACCACTTAAAATGTGTAAACTTTTTTAGGTAACTTAATTCTTACGGTATAATTAATTTTTTTTTTACTTTCCAAAATTCAGTTTCTTTTAAAATGGAATTTAGAAAATATATTCTCATAGTTCAGTCTAGGAGTGTCCCTTTTTTATCAGGAAGAATCTTTTTTTAGTGATCTACAAATGGAACAAATACAAACTTATGCTTTAATTCAATCAACAATCCTCTCCATCTTCCTTTCCTTTGCAGGTGTAGCATTGTTGCTCTGTCTTTTAAAGGCATTCTCGCTTCTTCATATAATTTCTTCATTAATATCTCCGGTTCCAGTGGGGTGAAACAGCACTTCCTGCTGCCTGTAGTCATGGTGACTCGTTGAATCGCTGCTCCACTGATAATGGATTTTTATAATTGTTAAGCACATTTTAAACTCTGAGTGGACCTACTTAGAGTTGATTAAACTAATTCATAGCAGCCGTTGTGAAACTGAAAACTCAGACCTAGATCAATTCAGCGTTCAGGATTAGAATGTGAGGTTGTTAAACCTGCTTCATGAAAAATATGCCTTCCATTGTGTGTGGGCTGTTTAACATGTTGAGTTAAACTAAAAGTTTTAAGTGTATCACTTGAGGTTTGCCAACATGTACTTTAATATCGATGTTGGCAACATTTGATCATGCTGACATGATCAAATGTTTACATTTCATCTCTGCTGCACAGGAATGGAAATGTTCTGAAAGCCGTACACAAAGAATATTTGTTTTGTATACACTCTGTGTTTACAAAATAACAAAATTGTCTACGTCTAAAGTCCCCCACAATAATTAGGTAGTTGTTGTTAAGTCATATCCAACACATATAACAGAAAAAAGAAAATTAAAATCATTTCATTTTGGATTCTGGAGTCCAATGTAGGCTCATAAAAATGGCTAAAACTGGGATTTGTACTTCGACCACCAGATAGTCCAAAGATTCAAAGTCACCCAGGATCACTTTTCATCACTGAATTATTAAACAGACTAATGAGTGTCGAGGATGGGAGGAGGTTGGTTAAAGACCCAAATGCAGAGATGAGGAGGCAGAGATATGGAGCAGGTGTGGATAGAGGTAACTAGAAGGGAGCTAGGAGAAAGGAGACTGGGACAAGGGGGCAACAAAGAGTAGCTCAAAAATATGCAACAAAGTCCAATTATAACACAAACTGGAAAAAAGAAACAACAAAATAGAATGACATAAATAACTGAAAACTCAAAAAAAGACTTAAAGAATTCCACAAAGGGGAGAACTATAACAACGAGTCGTCCCTCATTTTTAAAAGTATTTTTTGATGGAGAAAAGTATAATTTGGAGGTTTGGTCTCCAATAAAATCAGTATCTCATTATTTTCATCAAATCATGTCTCTGTTAGAAACATAAAATCAAGATTTTGCTGAATAATTAAGCCATTGATAAAAAATGTATTTTCCAGACAGAGATTTTATATTAAGTACATTTTAAATACCCTTGTTGATATTATCTCTATAGCTGGTTAAGCTTCATATTGTTTCAAGTTTGATGGTTTACTGCTGTTGATCCTTTAAGCTCTGTTCCTTCTGCCACTTTTCCTGGGGAGAATTAATTCTGATAAAAATGTAAAGGCCTTTATTTTCCCACAATGGGAAAGTTCGCTCTGTGCATTTTAACCCATCCCCTTGGGGAGCAATGGGTTGCCCGTATGTGGCATCTGGGAGCAGTGTGGGGTTAAGGGTCAGGAACCCCTAGTGGAGACTGTGGGATTCGAACTGGGTAACTGCAACCTTCTCAGAGCAAAAGCACTCTGCTCTAACCACTAGGCCAGCTCTCCACTGGAACCCAAAGTATATCAAAGAAACGTAATTTGAGAGACAGAGTTGTAGCCCTGCAGCCTTTACATAATGTTTGGCTGCAAGGAGGAGGTGAGGAGGGGGTTTGGGGGGAGTTTTCATAATGAGGGGACAAATTCCACTTTAGTGCTGTGATGAATAGTGGAGATGGCGCTGTTGAGGGGTTGTGGGAGGACAGGAGGAGATCGATTGGGTGTCTTGTTAGGGTTGTGCCTTAAGGTGTCTGAGGGGAAGTAACTCTGCTCAAAGGAATTGATGAAAGTGGTAAAGTCCTTGCCATTATCTCGTTGACCCTTTAGGCTTTCTGCATCTCTTCCTAATTCAGTGCTTGTTCATGTTCCGTGGTCTAAGTAGAGTTACATTGATCATCAGGGACACACTATGTCAGTTTTTTAACTCACATCATGTACTTTGATCAGAAAATAAAGAAAATGTTGGAAGGCAAATGTTTTGCACATGATCTACTTAGGTGAAATTCACCCCCTTGAAGATATTAGGGTTCCAGTTTGTGTGGGTTGTTTTTTGTTTTCTTTTTGTTCTCCCCTTCCACCACTAGATGGTGCCCTCTCCTCGTTTTGGGCCTCCTCTCACACCTTCGGCTCGTTGGGTCATCACCAGAGGAATATTTGAGCAGCGGGCTGTCACTACCTCGACGCCAGAGTGTTTGCCAGTATTGGATACTCTAACCAACAAAAGAGAAAGGCAAACTGAAGTTTGCCTTTCTCTTTTATTCTCCAAGAACCCCCCAAACGTGAGTTTCTGGTTCACCTGTCCGCTGAGGTCCCACTGAGTTTACCCTGCAAGATAATCTCTCTCTCTGTGTTTGTCAACCTCCCAATAAACCTGTAAACTTCTACCCTTGGTTCTCTGAGTGTTTCTCTGCATGTGGGTGAGATACTCAAAGCTCATCATGACAGAAGAGGTGTTGCTTTTATGAAAAAAATCTCCAAGTTATCAACAACACTGATTGATCTTGCAGAGCAGGTTCCTTTGATCTATGTATTAAGATAGAAAGCTCTGCTGTAGATTTAATCAGTGAGCCTCAAAGCACCAAACATGGTTTGCTTTGAGGCACTGGGTAAAAAAACAAACAAACAAAAACAGCACAGATCGGAATCTGCTCACCTGCATAGCAGGAACCTCTCTATATGCACTGCAGGCAGTGAGACATGGAAAAGAATCACATCAGAGATTAAAAAGTCAGAGACAACCGGTACAACGCAGGCTTGATTTCCTCCCCCCACCCAGACCATGATAAAATTATCAGCATGTGAAGATGGACTGTGCCCAGAGTTGGTAACTCATAAAAATCTAATCCGCATATAATTAAATAGCAGGAATATCATTTAGTGAAGCATTTCTAAAGTAAGAGCCAATTTGTCTGGTAAGAGGTTCTAGAATTTGAAAGTCTATTTTACCACTGCCAGCTCTAACACAACGCTGAACAAGCAAGACCTCCATGGCCTTCAAAGGTTGGAGGTAATGGTAGAAACGACCTTCCCAGGATGCACCTCGCCTGTCGTGAACCCAAACCAACTCTGTCAACATGCTTTCTAAGCAGGCAGTGGTGGACTGTAACTGAATACATTTAATTAAATCCTGTACTTACGTACCGGTTTTGAGTATCTTTACTTTACTCAAGTATTTCTTCGAGTGGGTACTTATAACTTGCACTCCACTACATTTCTAGTCATTACTTTTCCTCAAGTACAATATCTGAGTAGTTCGTCCACCACTGCTTCCAGGTGACAGTATGTTCATGGATCCATTCAAGTTCTTATGAGGCACCAAAAATTGCAAAGTCCCGCCTACATTGGGCCAGCTCAAGATTTCAAAGTTATAACTTTCGGTGTTTTTCGACACAATAACCTCTAATAGTCTGAAAAACTATAATGGAGAGGAGCATCCCAAAGAAAACTGGCAGAACAATGGATCCTTCATTTCCTTTTTTCTCATTCTCTTCCATCTGGATCTTTTCAGCCTTGTTCCCTTCATCATTTTTCTCTTCGTATTCTTCATCGTCGTTCCCTCCATCCTCTTTGTTTCCATCCCCTGTAGAAGAGAAGCAGGTGTTAGTCTGATTTGTCCGGTTGGAGATGCTTGTAGATCATCATCTGCTGCAACCAGACCAACTTTAGAAACAATCATCTGGTGTAAGTTCATTCATTTTTACATCAATAACATAGAAGCTACTGGAAGGCCTAGTAGGGAAACAGTCTCACCTGGAAGAGGGAGTGGAGGAAGAGGAGGAGGACTAACATCCAACCCAATGATGCATGTGAGACTATCTTCCAAATCTTCAGAGCCCATGTGGACCACTCTACACTCATATATCCCAATGTCGTAAGTTTTTACATCCTCCAGAAGCAAAGACACATCTCTATCCTCCATGAGACTGTCCTGCAGGTTCACCCGGTCAGAGTAAGAAGGATTCTGATTGGATTCATCGATCTGCTCGTCTCGATAGAGAAGGACGTATTCGTCTCCAAGATCGGTTCTTCTCCACTGGACAACTAAGACGGTGTAGTTGAAGGGATGTTGACATGGCAGAGTGACCGTCTGTCCAGCTTCAGCTGAGATGTTTTTACGAACTGCAGGGAGAAGATAGCAGAGAGGTTAGAGGTCAGCAGAGAGGTCAGAGGTCAGCAGAGAGGTCAGAGGTCAGCAGAGAGGTTAGAGGTCAGCAGAGAGGTCAGAGGTCAGCAGAGAGGTCAGAGGTCAGCACCATACAGGCACCACCCATATGTGCCTGTATGGCAGGCAGTGATGGGACTAACGGCGTTGAAAGTAACGGCGTTACTAACGCCGTTACTTTGTTTTAGTAACGAGTAATCTAACTAATTACTTTGACTGTAACTATAACGCAGTTACCATTGCAGGCACCCCGTTACTGCGCGTTACTCAGGTCGCACAATGAGCCTTTTTTCATGATAGGACTCGTGCGCAGCTGCGTGAAGCTGACACCCCACCCACGTCAAAAAACTCTGCAAATAGACTGAATGGTTAGTGCAACGTTAGTGCAGATTTGTGCAGAAAAAAATATTGTTTGTGCTACTTTTGTTTAAGAGATATTAAAGATTTATTTTAGGTCATCCAGAGGTGCGCGCCTTGTCATGAGAGAGGGGAGGAATAGATTCCGTCTGTCAGTTGAATAGGTGGGTGTTTCTGCTGGTGGGTGTTAACGTACAGCACACACAGAGAGATGGAGAGTGAGGATGACTCCAGCAGCAAAACAGCGTTTTCCACATGGAAATACCAGTGTTACGTAGAGCTGCGTTTCCCCATCACATAACGGTTTCCTCTGCATCTCCACACAGCGCAGGCGGCAAGAGTCACCGCGCAAGCGACAGGAAACGCGCATGCTCGCTAAAGGCGCGCAACAGTCGCCCTGTGCTCGCGCCACAGGAGAACTATGGAGAGCGTGAACGATCAAATGAACCTGACAACAGCCAGAAATGATAGCCTGTATGGAGAAAGGGAGAAATCTGGATGGATGGATGGATGGATGGATGGATGGATGGATGGATGGATGGATGGATGGATGGATGGATGGATGGATGGATGGATGGATGGATGGATGGATACTCTGCCTTCTCAACCTACTGTTTTTTTTTATTTTAAACATTATTTGATGGCCTTTGTGGCAGGGATGGAGATCCATATTTTATGTCACACACAGAGTATACATCTAGATAGATAGATGATAGATGATAGATGTTGCAGTATCTATAACAACCCAAACACACAGGATTTCAGAATTAGACATCCCCAGTTATTAATTTCATATACTCACCGGATCTGAATGTCCTGTTATAAAACTTCACATGGCGTTCCCCCCTGATGTCATTTACGTTGAGTTGCAATAAATGCTAAACTCTCTGCAGGTTCTTGTCTTTGTCGTCCGCTCTATTCAGCTGGCTTTGGAAACACACGGCGAGAAGGTGGGGGCCGGGTGGTGAGGTTTACGGGGGCGAGAAATGCAAAAGTAACGCAATAGTTACTTTTACTAGTAACTAGTTACTTTTATTGTGGAGTAACTCAGTTAGTAACTCAGTTACTTTTTGGGAGAAGTAACTAGTAACTATAACTAATTACTTTTTCAAAGTAACGTGCCCAACACTGATGGCAGGTGGAGTACTATCAACACCCCCGGATGCAGCTCGGCCTGTGGTGTGGCACCTCCTGCCCTGACCCTGCATGCAGCCTGTGCCTGCAGACGGCTGCAGAGAATCTGGGGGGGTATCTGGCGTCGGTGCTCGGATGGAGGGGCTGTGGCCGTTGGGTGGGGGTTATCCCTTCTGGGGCGGGTCCTGAGCTGCATTGTTGCTCTCTGTTGAAGCCCGTTTCCATCCCTCTTTTATTTTATCTTATTTTTATTATTTTATTTTCCAGCCCACTTCCCGCACAAAGATTAGTTTAGATTTAGATTAGATTCCACTTTATTGTCATCACACAGGTACAGGTTCAAGGCAACGAAATGCAGTTTAGGTCTAACCAGAAGTGCAATAGGAGCAAGTGCACGATAAATAATGGTTCCATAAGTACAGGACATGGGTTCTACTGAATAAATATAGAGATGAATTCTATTATAAATAATGAATATAATATATAGATCACTAGTGTTATGAACTAAATTTACAGCTGGATATGTACCGAATATAATATACAGGTGGATATTACTATAAAGAGTGTTTTTACAGTTATTTACAATAGGTTTTACTATAAAATGAATAAATAAAGTTTGGACAGTATTAGGAATCCAGTCTCTGTAGGTTGTGTTTTTGCTTCTTTTTCCCTCCACCACCAGGTGAAAATCTAAGTGGCAGTCAGCTCCTCCGTTCCTCAAGGAAACACCTCAACCTGGGTAAACCCTGTCCGCCCTCCAACGAGCAAGTCAATTACTGGAACAACCCACACCGCCTGAATTCAGAGAAAGACACCTTTTCTGGAAAAGTGAGTCCTTTTGCCTTTACTCCCTTTTGTAAATCGAAGCTCAAATTTCCCACTGAGCCTGAATTAACCACAGGAACTTCCCCTTCATTGGTTCACCAGTGTTATGAGCAGCACTGGACCCATCTCTACCAGTTCTCAATAAACCTGCTAAACCTTCCCCTGGTCTCTCTGTTTGGTTTCTGCATGTGGGTCAGATCTTTGAATAAATTCATGACAGACAGAAGCCATCTAAAGGGTTCTGGGGATCGGACCTCAAAACACATCAGGATAGCGTATATATGAGGACTGTAAGATCATGGTTAGGTTCTGACTATGGGTGTGTCTCTGCTGATTGCTGGTTTATGTCTGTATGGGTGTAAGGGTGAGGTAGTGAGGAAGAGACAGGATGATGGTGAAATTGTTTTGATCTATTTGTCAGGTTGGGTGTTTGCCTCCTTTGCCTAAACCACTGAACATTCTAGGCCCAAGTTTGAGTGGCCTGCTTCCTCCCCCTCTTTATGCTCCCTGCCAGTGACCGCTTCCTGTCTCTGCTGGTCCGTTGATGGTTTTCTAGGTGCGGGGTCGGGTACGTCAGTGAGCCCTCCTTATTCCCGGTGGTTGCAGGGCCAGGCCTGGGCCCCCACTTGGGGGTGGTTCACCCAGGGACCTCGGATGCGGGGCTCTTACATCGACCTTGGGTGTAACTGGCCTCTAGCTGAGCCCACTGGCTCGCTGCCGAGGCCCTGGGGGCCCCTGGCACTATCGCCTCTAGGGTAGGGCCCTTAAGGGACTGGCCCCCTTTTGGAGTTTGGCTCCTTGGGAGTCAGACTCCTGGTAATGGGGCTCACTTCACCTCTTTTTCTGTCTTGGGCTCTTTAGGGCGAGTCTCGGGCCGCTGGATTAGATGTTTCTGATGCTTCGCTTTCTTTAACATCTCCGTAGTGATTTGTTCCCAGTGTATTTTTTTTGATGCAGAGAGCAGTGGACACAGAGAACATACTGAAATGTACCTAATAGACGTTGTAGGAGACATAAATGGTTATGTGGTGTATGTTGTGTCTTGGAGGTGGAGACTCAAAGGGAGGTGGGTGTGCACCAAGGAAGTGGGTATAAGTGCGCACTCACCTGTCTCACTGATGAGAAGAGTAAGGGTGGGGCTGCCGTAATTTTGTTTGACCGCTTAATTTCACTAAGTTTCATATTATTTTGTTTCAGTATTCATTCGTTTCCTATATTAACTAACGGATCTAACTTTGTTTGCCACAATCATCCCTGCTGCGCTGTCATTAACTCATGCTGGTGACAATAAACAAACAAAAGCATCCTGGATTCCAGCATATCTGTAACAATATAAACATTTAAGCGCGTCACAAATAGGGAAAGAAAGGAGGACCCGACCCGAACTCTCAGCGGCCTAAAGGATCTTTAAGGAAGCCGCTATACTTTTGTCAAACAAAAATGGCTTTAATGGAAATCATCACCGCGCACAAGTGACAAAAACCAAGTCATCCCTCACTGGAGAACAATGAAGCCACAGCTAAGTGCCACATCATACGTTTCATTCACCAGGAAACAGGTAGGCCAGAGCCTTTCTTATGTTTGTGGATGGAATTCGTTTTGATTGCTTTCTGGCAAATGAGAATAATATATTGAATGGATGCTCCGCTGGATACATTGGCGCACTGACGATTGCGCAAGTTCTCCGTGCTTTATTTAATTGATAACGGGACTTGGTGGCATAAATATGTGGCGGTTGCTGTTGTCTGAAGGCCTATTGTTTATTTGAATGCTTGGATCGAAATTGCTCTGCCAATTAATTTAAATGCAATGTCAAATGAGTGGATTTGTTGCCTGGAAATGTGATTGTGACGAGCCACACAATAAAATATAACCAAATGAGTGGAATAAATTCAGCATTTGAATGTTCAAATATGGAGCATGGAAAAAGAGAAATTAAATTGACTGCCAAAGCGTTGGAAAATAAAATTGAACGTCTCCAGCTTGAGCGCAAAAGTACTGTTAATAAAATTAAAGGGCTCATTCCGCAAATTAAAGCAAAAATGAAAATAAAAGAAAACGCTGCTGATATCCTTACACAGCTGGACCATTTGAATATACTGTGTAACAGGGCCAGTGAACTGCACAATGAATTATTGCCATTATTGCCTGATGATGTGGATAAAATTCAAAACGACTGGTTTTCCAGCATTATGGATTACAGTGGTGTATTCAAGGAACAAGTGGAAAAATGGATACAGGAAAATCAAGATGAAAATTCAAATAAAACGCCATTTGAAACAAACATCTCAGAGCAATCAACAAAAGAAATAAATCCTGTTGGAAAGCATAAGGATCTGCTAACTGCGCCTCTGGAAGTTGTTCCCACTGTACAAAACTTACCTGATGAACTTAATCCTTCTGATAGCATCTCAAATGCAACCAAAAGAACACGCTCATAAACTCGTTCAAAAACAGAAAGAAATCTTGCAATTTTGGCAGCAAAGCAAAAGGCCTTAAAGGAAAAACATGCATTGGATGAAGAGGAGTTAAAGTTACGTAAAAGACGAGAGCTTCTTTTACTGGAGAGTGAAATCGCTGAGGAAATGGCAAAACTGAGTGTCATAGAATCACAAAGCAGTGTTGGCAGGAAATCAAAGTCAATGGTTTCTGATGGGATGAACTCTTACTTTGAACAGACACATTCAAAAGGACAACTTAATGTTATGCCTCTGAGTTCGTGCCACTACCACCAGTAAAACCCCATACAACGGACGTCACACAGCCAGCTGTGAAACCTAAAGTCACTCTCTTATGTAATAAAAAACAGCCCTCAGGTACCTCTTACATGCTCGAGCGCTATTTGATGGCTCCTGAAGACCCTGTTGCCACTGCTGCACAAACTGATGGATTACGAAATGAAAGTGTTTTGGATATAATGAGGAAACGAAATGAAATCACGACACTCCTAATGCAACAACAAAGTCTCTCAGCGCTTCCAAAAAGAGAAATTCCCATTTTTGATGGTAATCCACTCAAATATCACTCATTTATTAAAGCTTTTGAAAATGCAGTTGAGCAAAACACCCATAACAATTCTGACAGACTTTATTTCCTTGAACAGTACACTAAAGGGCAAGCAAAAGAGTTGGTGGGGAGTTGTCAGCTCATGGAGTCAGGCCTAGGGTATGCTAAAGCAAAGGCTCTGTTGAAAGATCATTATGGAAATGAGCAAAAGGTGGCTGCAGCATATATGGAGAGAGTTCTGTCATGGACCTCTATTAAGAGCATGTGAGGGCCCTCCAGGAGTACAGCCTCTTTCTGCGTGGATGCTGCAATGCCATGGAAGATGTGCAGTATTTAAATGACCTAGACACACCCACAAACATGGTGGAGATCATCAAAAAACTGCCCTACAAACTCAGAGACCGCTGGAGATGCCATGCATGTGACCTGCAGGAAAAATACAACAGAAGAGCAAGGTTTATGGATATAGCCAGCTTTGTTGAGAAACAGGTGAAAATCTTAACAGACCCAGTTTTTGGAAATATTCAGGACATTACTTCATCAACTAAACAAATAAAACACAAACCTCAGCCTCGTTCCAGCATCAAAGGAACCAGCTTTGCTACCACTGTGGATAATATGGAAAGAACAGGCACGCCTTTGAACAAATATATTTAAAACACCTTTACTTACCACAGATTGAAGCTGGAATCGAGCTGCTGATTGGCTCTAATGTCCCACGAGCCATGGAACCGCTGGAAGTCATCCGCAGTGAGCATAATGGACCCTATGCTGTAAGGACAGTGCTGGGCTGGACCGTAAATGGACCACTAACAGGAAATAGTGGAGAGGCCAATTACTGCGAGCAGGCAGTAACTGTGAACCGTGTGTCCATTGTGAATTTGGATGAACTATGGCAACAGCAATTTAAGATGGATTTTCCAGAGTCTGTTGTTGAGGAACAAGTAGGTCTGTCAAGAGAAGACCTGAGGTTCATGGATATGGTTAGAAAGTCAGCCAAACATATTGATGGTCACTACCAGATCGCTCTGCCTTTAAAAAATTCAAACATTAGCATGACCAATAACAGGAAAGTGGCAGAACAACGTTTACACCACTTAAAGAGGAGGTTTCAAAGGGATCCAATGTTCTACATGGAGTATAACATCTTTGTTAAAGATCTCCTTTGTAAAGGTTATGCTGAAAGAGTTCCTGGTGCAGAGCTGGAAAGAAGTGATGGCAAGGTTTGGTACATACCGCATCACGGTGTCTACCACCCAACAAAAAGAAAATTGAGAGTCGTGTTTGATTGTGGTGCCCGTTTCAATGGACAGTCTCTAAATGAGGAGTTGTTGCAAGGCCCCGATCTAACCAGCTCACTAATTGGAGTTGTGAAAAGGTTCAGGAGGGAACCTGTGGTCATTATGGCTGACATAGAAGCAATGTTTCATCAGATGCGAGTGCCACCAGAAGATGCCGACTTGCTACGATTCCTATGGTGGCCACAAGGAGACCTGAACCAAGCACCATGTGAATATAGAATGAAAGTGCATCTTTTTGGAGCTACTTCCTCCCCTAGCTGTGCCAACTTCGCCCTCAAAAAATGTGCAGATGATTTTGGACACGGCTACAGAAAGGAGACAGTGGATAAGTCGCAGCACTGTTTCTATGTTGATGACTGTTTGGTGTCAGTTGCAACAGAAGAGGAAGCACTGACCCTCTGTCATGAGCTCACGTCTCTATGTGCTAAAGGTGGGTTCTGTTTGACTAAGTGGTTCAGTAACAGAAGCGAAGTGATTCAGACCATCCCAGAACCTCACGGAGCTAAAGGCATGAAGCAGTTGGATCTGGAGTGTGAGTTTATGCCCATTGAAAGAGTGTTGGGTTTGGAGTGGTGTGTCAAGTCAGACACCTTTAAATTCAACATTATATGGAAGGAAAGACCATTCACTCGCAGAGGCATTATTTCTGCTGTATCCTCAATTTACGATCCATTGGGTATGCTCTGTCCCCTTGTTCTGACAGCAAAAAAGATCTTAAGGGATTTGTGCAGAGGAGGAATTGGTTGGGATGACCCCATACCTGAGACTGTCTCCAACAAGTGGCTTAAGTGGAAGCAAGGGCTTCATCTGCTGGACAATTATGAATTACATAGACGTCTAAAACCACTGGAGTTTGGAAATGTTGTCAATGCACAATTACATCATTTCTGTGATGCATGTGAGGATGGCTAGGGTGTAGTCACTTACCTGATGATGCAGAACGAGCGCCACCAACGGCACTGTGCATTTCTAATGGGAAAGGCTCGTGTTGCCCCACTGAAGATGATTACAATTCCAAGGATGGAACTGATTGCTGCAACAATGGCAAGCCGAATGGACTTTCTGTGGAGGAAAGAGCTGCACATGGATGTTCAGAAATCTGTGTTTTGGACAGATAGTGCATCTGTACTAAAATACATTAAAAATGAGAGCTCAAGATTCAAGGTGTTTGTTGCAAATCGTGTTTCAGAAATACTGAAATCATCAGACCCTACTCAGTGGAGGTACGTGGATACAGCTTCAAATCCAGCAGATGTAGCATCTAGAGGGGTCAAAGTTGAGGCACTTTTGAAAGACAAACTCTGGTTAAGAGGACCTTCTTTTCTTTGCCAACCTGAAACAGAATGGCCTGTGAACCCTGAGCCTGTAAACCATATCTCCCAGGATGATCCAGAGGTGAAGAAAAGTGCTGTTGTTAACGCTGTACAAGTTGAGGATTCTACCACTCACTTGATCCATCATTATTCCTCTTGGATACGGTTAAAGAAAGCTGTGGCATGGTGGCTGAAATACAAGGACTGGCTTTGGTCCTGTTCCAAGAAGAGGAAAGAGCTTACAGCCAATCAGAATGAAGTAAGCATGCAGCAGCAGAGAATGATAGAAAAGGAAATATGCACGTTCAAACGCACAGCTATCCCAGGATGTCTTACAGTGGAGGACATTGAAAAGGCTGAGACAGCCATTATCCGGTTTTGCCAGAGAAGAAAGTTTTCAGAGGAGTTTTCATGTCTGGAAAAGGGACAACATGTAAAGAAAAGTAGCCACCTTTACAAGTTGTGTCCAAGGCTGGAAGATGGAGTCCTGCGTGTGGGAGGTCGGCTCAGTAAAGCAGCTTTGCCTCAGGAGATTAAGCACCCCATTATTTTGGCCAAAGATCTTCATATTTCTACCCTGTTGCTGAGAAATATTCATCTACATGTAGGACACAATTGTCGTAACCTTATGTTGTCCAAGCTCAGGGAGAGATACTGGATGACCGGTGCATGCACTGCCATTAGGAGAGTTTTGTCTAAGTGCACCATCTGCAGAAGACTTAATGCTATACCAGTTTCCCAACAGATGGCAGATTTGCCTCCTGAACGACTCAAGCCAGATGAACCTCCATTCACTTGTGTAGGAGTAGACTACTTTGGTCCCTTTGAAGTGAGAAGCAGGAGGAGTACCGTGAAAAGATACGGTGTCATATTCACCTGTCTTACATTGAGAGCTATTCATATCGAGGTAGCACCTTCTTTAGATACCGACTCTTTCATAAATGCTCTGAAGCGTTTTATATCCAGAAGAGGACAAGTCCGCGAGCTGCGGTCTGATAACGGGACAAACTTCGTGGGAGCAGAACGTGAACTAAAAGAAGCAATTGAACAGTGGAACCTGGCACAGATACATGATGTATTGCTCCGAAAGGGTATAAAGTGGACATTCAACCCCCCTGCTGGGTCACATCATGGAGGAGTATGGGAGAGGCTGATCAGATCTGTGAGGAAAGTTCTGTATTCCACCCTTGGAATGCAACGCCTGGACGAGGAGGGACTCCACACAGTTCTCTGTGAAGTTCAAGCCATTATTAACAGCAGGCCCATCACCAAAGCCTCTACAGATCCTAATGACCTGGAAGCACTGACGCCAAACCATCTGTTACTGCTAAAAAACCAACCTTCATTGCCACCTGGAGAGTTCCAAGCTGGAGACCTGTATGCACGGAGGAGATGGAGACAAGTTTAGTATATAGCTGATCTTTTCTGGAAACGACGGACAAAGGAGTACTTGCCTCTGTTACAGGAACGGCAGAAGTGGACTGGAGTCCAGAGAAATCTGGTTGCTGGAGATATAGTACTGCTTATGGACAGCACCGCACCCCGTAATTCTTGGATTATGGGACGTGTGCTGGAAACCTTTCCGGACCACAAAGGGTTTGTTCGGCAAATTCGCATAAAGACTAAAACGAGTTGCTTGGATAGACCTATATCTAAGGTCTGTTTGCTGCTGGAGTCAGAGGAGTCTGCAAGATGATATTGTAACTTTTCCACAGATTATCTTTGTTTTTTCTTCTTGGACTGGACTTTCTCTTAGTTGGTTATGGATAACCAAAAGGATTGTTAATCATCATTATCTATGGACTTGAGCAACTTATTACATGTTCTTTTGCATCTGATATTGTTATGATGATTTGTTATGTCTCCTATTGTGTTATGAAATGTAAATTATTGTGACACCTAATATTAGGGGCCGGTGTGTAGGAGACATAAATGGTTATGTGGTGTATGTTGTGTCTTGGAGGTGGAGACTCAAAGGGAGGTGGGTGTGCACCAAGGAAGTGGGTATAAGTGCTCACTCACCTGTCTCACTGATGAGAAGAGTAAGGGTGGGGCTGCCGTAATTTTGTTTGACCGCTTAATTTCACTAAGTTTCATATTATTTTGTTTCAGTATTCATTCGTTTCCTATAATAACTAACGGATCTAACTTTGTTTGCCACAATCATCCCTGCTGCGCTGTCATTAAGTCATGCTGGTGACAATAAACAAACAAAAGCATCCTGGATTCCAGCGTATCTGTAACAATATAAACATTTAAGCGCGTCACAAATAGGGAAAGAAAGGAGGACCCGACCCGAACTCTCAGCGGCCTAAAGGATCTTTAAGGAAGCCGCTATAGACGTCTCTCTGGGATTATTAAAGTATTTCTGATTCTGATTCTTTAAGTTTCTCTGGACTTCAAAGATAATCCCACCAATCATGGTATGAGATGAGCGGGCAGGATGGTACCTTATGAATAGTCAGTGGGAGAAGAGATAAAAACCCCACACAGAGATGTAACTACACATAATCATATTATTTTTGTATTCGTTTAAAGCAGTGTTGTTTAATTAAAGCTTTAGAACAACAACAGAGTGAAAGGAACTCACATTCAGACCAACAGAGGACGGTTTCTGCCAGCAGCAGCATCCAGCTGATGAACAGCGACCTAGCAGACATGGTGGCTCTCCTCAGCCTGCTTCAGCTAAACTCAACCAGGCTGTTAGATCCTCTAAACTAACACAACCTGGTTCTTTGGAGCTGAAACTGTTGCGCCTCTCTGCTCTATTTTTATTAAAATTAACTGAGGAGAAAAGCCTTTCCTGATCTATTGTTTGATCACCTTTTGTTTCCAGTCAAACAGGTTTTAGCTTGGCTGAGGACGTCAAAGACTGAAGACGTGACTCATGATTTGATTTGCTAAGCAACAGCAAACTAGAGGAATGCAAATCAGACATTACTGTTTGCTTTTCAGTCTTTTCAGCTTTAATGCAAATGAAAAAAAGCAACAAAACAAAAACAGGAAAGTTACATCGCAGATGGACAATAAGATTGGCAGTTTTCCTTTTTAGAGCTTTTTCACATTCTTTTTCAGTCTTTCGCATTAATTTACATTTTTATCAGAATGAAGTC